AGTTTCCTGATCTACAATTGGCCTTCAGCTTTTTTCTTCCTCACAAAGCCTCAACATTTTATTTTTTGTTTTAAAAGATTACATTAACACATCTTGACCACCGCATGAAGAAAATCAGATGTGCGCAGTGTACTTCCATGCTGGAGGACTGTGCAGGATTTGGAGAATGATACAAAAGCCACTGCACACGCTCTCTGGAGTAGTCTGCCCATATTTCCCTAAGTGTTATGTCCTGTTACTGAGCAAACATTTACTTTAGCATCAAATGTATCAAAGCCCTCCTCCCTTCTCTCTGTTCATAACATCCAAGAATGCCAAAATCCAGGGTCTAGCTACATCTTCCCCTCTTACCATTAGAAATACACCTCTCCAAACACTCCTTGCCCTTCCTTGCCAGAAGAATTCTCTCTCTTAGAGCTGGATCAGAACTATCAGCATGCAGGCTGCAGTCCCAACCCAAATACTCTGATCCCCATTGCCACCTTCAGAGCAGCTGCTTCCTCAGCTCCAGACACTGTTGAGGACCATGGACATTTGGACACATGAGAGGCAGTGACAGGGCTCCTGCTGAAAGCACAAGGTTCCTTATCTGCTCAGTATGAACAATTTCAGTTACCACAGAACCTCACCCAATGCTAAAGTCACATTTCACCGCACTGTTACAGAAATAAACATTTCCCATCAGCTGAGGAATGCTCCTAACAGCACAGATTGCAGGGCTGCATACAGCTGTATGTCTACACTGCTTATCCATCCTCATCTATTTGCTGAGCTGTGCTATGACAGTGAAGGAGAACAAGCAATTGTTATATCAGCAAGCATCTGATCCCAGGAAAGCACTGTGTTATCATTTCTCCTCTAATAAGTACTCTATGAAAGGAAGAGTGGTAACAGCCTGAGATTTCTGGACAGTGCCAACTCAGGAAAAGTGTACCAGTCACTTACGAAGCCTCTCCATTTGCTGACACACTGCTCACTTCACAGGCACCTTGGCAGAGGGATGTGGAATATTCCCTAAGCCCTCAACAATTCATTCTTTTTTCCATCATGGTATTTTAGAAAAGGTTACATTGTCCAGACTTCCTCTAGCAGACGCATAGTTAGAACCAGTTAGATTCCATGATTCTATGAACCAGCACTGCTAACAGGCTCTCCCAGGCTAAATTGTAATGCTCTTAAACTGCTGTTAACATAACGTGCCTACAGACTCCGCTAGCAAGAGCTGCTGTTGGAATGCAAAGAGAGAGGAGGAAGGAGAAGCAGGCCTTGCACAAGTTTTGCACCAAAATGGATGCAGAATGTGGCGTGGCACAGGCTGAAAATGCAGGGCAGAGTCCTTGCAGAATGGAGGCCTGGAAAAAGGAGTTCATGCTCATGAGATCACTGTGCAGTCCAGTGCCAAGGGCTTGCATTTGCAGTTTGAGAGGCAGCTTCTTCTCCAGCTTCAGCATCAGCACCAGCATCCGGACACTTGGCTCCAAGCCCTTTCATCCAAGCATTATAATAATGTTAGATATTTTGAGCACATGAACATACAGATTGTTTTAATTTACTGTGTATGTATATGAACACGCAGCTAGTGACCTTAAAGGAGTTTGGCCTTTATTGGTTAGTGAACAATGTGGTTTGTTTTTAAAATATGTTGCTACAAGAGTTCCACACGTGCAAAGAGCCAACGAACAGATCACTAAGGTTTATTAAACCTGTTAAGTATCGCAATCACACAAAACCTAAAGCCATATTAAGCCTGTAAGACATATGGCCACTTAACATATAAAAATCTCACTTAAACCTATAATCCCATAAAGGCTGTGACAAATTAACTTTTGTCCAAATAGGAAAATCTAATTACAAATTGATTAAAGTTGTTAAAACCATGACAGCCTCCCTCAGAAATTTTCACCCTGCATACTCTAGTAACACCAGGCATCTCTTACTTCTCATACCCACCCCAGTAATGAAGGCATTTGGTTGCTCATCTCTGCTCTTAAAAAAACCGACTCCTTGCAATATCCTGTATGAAAATATTCCTGCCTACAGGCGCAGCGATTTGTCAAGCCCCAGTCTAACTGGTGATCCTGATTATGCTGGTATTCAAATGGAATTCTTTAAAAGTGTCCATTTTTCTGCAAATTGGCACTTGATCTCCAAAAACATAGTGCTACATGAATTTCCTCATTGCTATAAAGCAAACAGAGACAGCACTATGGCACCTCTCTGCACATTATGCAGAGAAATACACTCCCTGTACCAACTTACAGATGCACGTGCCAAACTACTCCAAAGACAGATGGCCAAATTTTTCCCTCTCAGATGATGAAACATATATAAGCTGTAAATAGCTTTATAATTCTAAGGATTATAAAAAACAGTGGTGCTGTGCATTTCCTCCTTTCACGTTCTCTCACATAGGTGACTAGTTTACTTGGGAAGAAACTACTCCTTATGCTATAGTAATTCTGCTTCTGGTATCAGAGAGGTTGCTACAAATTGTTCCTGCTCTTCTGCACCACAGTGGCTTCTGTGCCCTGGCTTACTAATTACATCTGTGCTGACTTGGAACTTGAACACAATTTTGAAATCTCTCCTTGAAGTTTCTTATCATGTAGAAAAACTGGCTTTCTTTTTTTTCAATCTCACATTATCTGAATTCTCTCTCTAGTTATAAATATCACAAAGTATTCAAATGTCACCTCATCATATGTTGAATTTCTGAGTAGGGACATCACGTCCCTATTTGCACATCAAACCAACAACGTGATACAAAAAGCCAAGGCTGAAGCCAGTGAGCCACTGATTTCAGTTACCTTGAATCAAATGGAAAAACCTTTCTCCAGTTCTGAGCTGACATCTACTGGTAGAATGTTGCAACAGTGCAGGAATCGGGAAATGCACAGCAAGCCATTTCAGGAAGGATCTCCAAGTGGTACACAGTGAAACGCTCTGGGGTTGAAAAGGACTAGAGATCCAAAAAGTATGTATTTTATGCAGCTTTGCTCCAAGTATAGTCAGATCAGGCCAAGCATATAGCTGGGGGCGTAACTCTTCAAGTTTTCTATTTCAGACACAACTTAGAATTATATTAATGTCAAAGACCGTTGAAATTCATTTTAAACAGATTTGCTTTGGATTAGTTTAGATTACAAGGGGGTATAAACACATAGTAGCCTGCAATTATGTTAGAGCAGTTTAAAAAAATCTTAGGTCTCAGCTGAGGCACAGTAATTAATAACACGCACATCCTCCTAGCCAGCTGCAACACAGAGTCAGCCCAGTTTGCATAAAGACACAACAAGTGGGTTTAAAATTCAACTCATGCTGAAATAAACCATTCCTAAATCAGAAAAAGATTGTTCCCTCTGGGACTTGTAACAGTGCAAGAACACTCCTTTAACACAATCTTCTTAATTCAGTATGCAGATGAAGCTGCAGATGCATCTCTTCCAACCTCAATTTCTCCATAGTATAACGAAGAAACTGGAAGAGTGGAGAACATCCAACCCTTTTGATACACATGAAAGTGGTACTCAGATTCTTTGGAGGGAATTATATGATGGCAACAGTGCCACACGTAACATTTTAAATAACAAATTAGATCCCTAATTTATGACCAAACACTCAGAATTTTATCACGTCCTGTTGCTTTAGGCAAATATTAGAAAACTTAGTAGAAAAGAAATAGGTCCCTTTCTGACATATTCAAAGGAAAAATATGCTGTTTATGGGACTCAATATGCTGTTTTGTTTCTCCTGTTCTTTGCACCCCAGTTGGTTCTGATAGCCACGAACCGTACATAAATTTAGCACTAATACTGAGCATCGTTATCCTGGGGAATGCAAGACTATACTGAACAACCCAATCCTATTCCCTTGACAATCCATTTAAATCACTAGTTTTGAAAAGGATGCTGAAAAGTCTTACATATTAGAAGAGCTCCCTTTTCAAAGTCAGTGGAATTTCTAGAGTTTGCACTATTTTTCCATTCTCTCAGTATACCTAAAGGCCATGGGATGGGGAAAAGAACTGTTGTGTACTTGTACAGAATTATGTGTTAAAGTCTTATTCAGGGAAGAATGCACAACAGCCTTCTGCTACCTGAGGGTTTATTTTCTTGAGCAGTTTAAAGAGGAACTAATGTTTTCACAGGATACCCTCCCTTTCAAGCACAAATACAGTCTCAGTGCAGATTTCCAGCACTGCTGGAAGAAGAGAAGCAAGCCAGCCATTTGAAGTGAACGTCTGATCAGACAGAAATGACTGCGAAGAGGAATTGTAATCAGGCAGTGGAGTAAGGGCAAAGAAAGAATTTGGAAGATAAGGGGTAAGCAGACGTCCCTTACCAGCCCAACAAACACTGAGGCCAGGCAGGAAGCAAGGCAGCCAGTTGGACACAATTGTTTTGGGTAAGATGAAGTATCAGAAAACATCTCAAGGCAAAAAAGATTAGCAAGATGAGCAAGAGAGCAGCAGCAGAAGTAAGAGGAGTATCTCACTGGTTGACTGTCAGAAATAATTTACTCAGATATAATAAAAGAGTTTGGAAATTAATTTTCAGAGAAATATATGTTTGCCAGCTCCATTATCTCGTAACATGTTACACAGTCCAAACCAAGATCATTCTGCAGTAGTGCCTTGGTTGGACACTCAGTGAAGGCTGAGTTAATGAAGTGTGAGATGTCTGTAGCAAGTGACTCCACTCTAAATGGTGAAAGAAAAAATAAATGGCAACAAGACTGATTTCTAGGATGGATGAATTCTTCTTAACAAGTTTTCTGTACCTGGTATAGCCTTCTGTGTACAACTTTCCCAGTGTCGTGTTTTTGGCTGGGATGGAGTTAATTTTCTTTGTAAAGGCTCATACGATGCCATGTTTTGGATTTTGATGAGAATAATGGTGATAACACACCAATGTTTTTAGTTGTTGTAGAGCAGTGCTTACATTAAGCCAAGGACTTTTCAGCTTCTCACGCTACCCTGCCAGCGAGCTGGGGGTGAACAAGTTACTGGGAGGGGACAGCTGCCCCAGACTGGCCAAAGGGATACCATATGATGCTGTGCTCAGCAATAAAAGCTGAGATGAAAGAAGAAAGAGAGGGACGTTCGGAGTGATGGCGTTTGTCTTCCTGAGACACTGTTACACGTGATGAGCCCTGCTTTCCGGGACACCTGCCTGCAGATGGGAAGTAGCAAGTGAATTCCTTATTTTCCTTTGCTTGTGTGTGCAGCTTTTGCTTTGTTTCGTAAACTGTCTTTACCTCAACCCATGAGTTCTCACACTTTTACTTTTCTGATTCTCTCCCCCATCCCATCTGGGGAGAGTGAGCAAGCAGCTGTGCGATATCTAGGTGCTGCCAGAGTTAAACCACAACACGTGAGTACTCTGGCATAGCAACTCATACTAATGTAGCTTTGTACATAACTGTGAAAATGATTCAATGAGTTAAACGAACAGCATAGGGGAATAATCTCTGGTGCATCCTCACCTTGAATGTTGTGTGCATTTCTGGACTCCGTAATATAAAGTGGATATTAAGGTACTTGAAAATGTCCAGGGGATGGTAACAAAGCTGATAAAAGGGTTGGAGGGCACATCCTGTGAGGAGAAACTGAGGACACTTGGGTTTTCTAATTATGAGAAGAGAATTCTGAGAGGTGACCTCATGGCTCTCTGCAGCTTCCTCAGCAGGGGAAATGGAGCAGGAAGGGTCAGGCTCTGCTCCCTGATAGAATGCGAAGGAATGGCATAACGCTGCACCAGGGCATGTTCAGACTGGACATGAGGAAAAACTGCTTTACTTTAGGGGTGGTCAAACATAGGTACAGGCTTCCTGGAGAGGTGGTTTTGCCACAAGCCTGTCAGTGTTCAAAAGGCATATAGAAAAAAGATGCTTTAAGTTTTAGTTAGGCATGAAGTGCTTAGGCAGTTGGATTTTATGATGACTGTACGTTACTTCCAACTGAAATATTCTATTCTATTCTATACTACCTCTTTTGAGGTAGTAGAGTTATTCCAAATTAATAGTGGTATCTGAGAGCTGAATTTGACCTACAAATTAAAACACTCATCATCATTTTCAGTTTTTCTGTCTTGCTGTAATCAAGAGCTGACTTCCATAATCATCTTCTGTGTGTGGGGAGCTTTTGTCGCCTTTGCTGTTTCCCAATGTTACTGAAGTATTTGATACTTGTGTGGTTGTGTGTGCTGTTGCAGTATTCACACTGTGAAGTGATACCTTAAATATTCACTGGGAGAAAAAAATGAACATGCTGTAAGAGATCACTTTAGGGAAATACCATTCAATTATAATGAAGTATTCATTCACAAGGTTTCAATTTTGTTTGCATTTGGCATATTACGACGCTGACTGAACAGCCTCAGAGCAACAGCCACAAAGTATATATCAATGTGGAAAGAGGGACAGGAGGGAAGTAACAGTTAGAAATTTGATTCATAAATGATCTTGTCTTACACATCCCCACATCCCATGCAATTCTGCAAATGCTTGTTCAGTGTTCTGTTCCAGAGACAATATTCCTGCAATGCATTAATATATGCATCAGCACCTCCAGGGTTGTTTCCAAACTAATATTAAGAAGTAACACTACAGTAGCTCAGACATCATCTCACAAAACCCTATTCAGAACAGAGTTAGGTGGGCACAATGCAGAGATCTTCCACAGGAACGACTATTTAAGTGCTCCCTCCAGTGTACTGCTTCCAGGGAAGAACTCCAGTATTTTAGGAAAAATATGACAGATAGGAAGACTACAGGCAGGTGCTGGTCTCTTAACTTCTGTATCATCTCACTTTATAGGCAGGGATAAAGGAGGATTCTTTTTAGTATAGGCAATGATGAAAATATGGCTTTTTTCTTTTTCCACTTGGAATTTTCATGCTACTGGAAAGATAAGGTTTCATTTTTAAGAACTTAATTCTGGCCCTGATGTATTACCTTCCTTATGACAAAGGTTCTGATGTTTTAAACTGCTGTTTAACATTGCTGTGGACTGGATAAAAGCATGATAACTTCCATGCTTCTAAATCAGACTGTCTCTTTAATTAAAAATCCTCATACTACTATAATCACTATCCCCTCTCCACAGGACTGATTTCCTGACACCTTCTTCCTGTCCTACTTTCCTGCAATCAGGGACCTTTCCCCCCAGTTTCATATTAATTGCACATTCATTAGCAAAGCTGCATTGTGCATACAACGAATATAACATTTTGCTTACCTCTTGCTACCTGATCTAAGAATAAGGAACTTATTCCTAAAGACAGGATAGCACATACTTATTCAAAGTGATATTCAGTAAAGATGTATCAGTTGCAGGAAAGGTTTTTCTGAAGGAGCAGTTCTACCAGATATCACACACCATTGTAACTCCAAAACCTGTATTTGGAATATGATGTTGAATGACAGATAAGGATCTGTAACTATATTTACAAATGCTAAGAGGATGAAAATCCACCTCTCCCTAAGGCATAGATTAAACTTTACAGCAGATACAGGCCGTGGTTTCTGGTAACAAAATGAAATTAAAGTCAGCGAGCCAAGAGCTCTCTTCCAGAAACAGTTTAAAAATAAACTAAGTAACAAATAAATTAACAAATTCCTTGTTAGATCAAAATGAATGCCCAAATTTCTTTTTTGGTATTTTTTTCTAATTTCTTAACCTTAGCTGTTAGTACATAATGACCCAGTATGCAACTGGCACTGTTCATCTCTACTAAACAATTTTTACATAGAGGTTTATAACTGGGAGGAGTTCATCTGGCTTAAGGGATAAATGGCTATTGGTAAGAGACAAATTCACCAGAAGAAGAGAAAAATTCATCAGAAGATAGAGAACTTGCAAACATCAACTAATATGATCTATAGCAACTAAAAAAAAAAATACCCATTAGCAAAATGCCATTTTTTTTAATTTAAAAATGAAAGAAATAGATAGATCCCCATTGTATCTGGTTAAATATCTCCAACAACGTGTACTTCACCACCTTTACAAGGATTTTAAATTTCCCTTCTACTCATGGAAATTACAAAAGCCTTTGCTGTAGGTCAGATCCCACTCAACAGATGTTCTCTGTGCTTGTAGATATTTAACAACAATTAGTGAGACTTCATTTAATATGCTGAATAGCTGAATCATTTCATACACAATATCTAATCCACAGCCACCAACCTATTTCCCCCATGATGCTCACCAGGTCAGTGGAGTCTTGCATTCTCCCAGATAGAAGTGGTTAAAAATCTTTGCTGAATAACACATCTTCAAAAAGATGCATCCTAACCCACTGCAGAAAGAGTAAACTGCCATGACACATTCCGCTGAAATGCTACTCCATCTCAGCCATTCCATCAGCCCTATAAAAACTGATAGTCTGGAACTGGTCAGATACATTACTGTAATATCTCACCTGAATAGATGGTGCTATGACTGTTTTGGAAATAGCAGGTACTGGGTGAGGACAAAAGCATGAAGGTAACCTCTTCTTTCTACTCTTTTGTTGGCCTTTTCTCCTCTCTCCCTTTGGGAAAACTGCTGAATGCACTGTGACCCAGAACCAGCCAGAGCCAGAGTCTGTAGCAAGCACTGAGACTGCAGAACCAGCAAAGAATACTATGATATTTTCCAAGGTCTTTTGGTTGCTTTTATTTGTTTTTCAAAATATCATATTTAAATTCAACAAAAAAATCCTAATGCAGTCTCTTCTCAGCTTATTTTAACATGAGATACGTGCCAGACAGAAAACTGAATTTTAAAGAAAATCCCTAAGTGATTACCAACCAAACTAACATAGTTTTCAAACACAGTGTTGCAACACTCATAGGCATAGCCTATCCAATTCAGCTGACTGAAGTTCTTCACAGAACAAAGACAGATTCAAAGAAAGTTAAGCAACTGCAAATTGGAAACTAAAGAGAAAAATCTAAGACAACAAACAAGTACATTCAAGAAACAGCAGCTTCTCTTTTCTTTTGCCACTATTAGAATGTATACCAGTACCTTTCCCATCTAGCTGTTTGCTATAGCAACATTTAATTAATCTATTTACTTTTAAAAGTCAGTAAAGAATCAGGAAAGCATAGGAAGGTATGAATACTAAGGAGTGCTTAAACAGATATGTAATTTCTGCATCCCTGTTATACCATAGCCCTGCATGATTCAGAATAACCAATAAAACACATTATTTTTAAGCTTTAGTCTGCAAACCACAACTAGCTTAAGTAGAACCATCCATATTTTTATATCCCTCCACCTTATTTTATCGATAAACTAATAAGTGATTAGATATGGTATAAAAAAAACAACTGGTGTCTTAGCCCTTAACAGCTGCTCTTGTTTTGTACGGACAGCTTCCCAATTAGAATTGATCACAGACTAGGGTTATAGGCGTGTAGCTAGGACTGAGTAGATTATAAAAACTTTTCTGTCCTTTCTTCTAAAGCTCTATTTTTCCTTCTTCCCTTTGGTGGGGAGGCGCTAAGTTCTGACTTTCCTAAAACTGAGGCAAAAATGATATCTAGTCTGTTCTAATGGTAGCAATTCAGCTTTGAGTAATCTGAAGTCTATAAGACAGGCTGATTATAATAGAAGCTGTAAGTCAGTGGTTTTTGTTAATTAATAAAATGATGCTCTATTGATAGACATATGGGGATTGTTGTCTTCCTGAAGGAAAATTTTGCTGCTCAGAGTAAGGAGGCTGTGCTTAGTTCTATGTGGCTACAGTATATTAAAATAAGAGGTTTTCTTCAATACTTGTTTATAGTAATTTTTGATGAGATAATTGACTATTAGGTAACCAAAAAGCTGTTAGAAAGGCCTTGAGGAATGTTAATACTCAGTAGGTAGGATGCTAATGCTTATCTGAGCTGCCGCTTCTGACTAGGATGATACATGTTCTACTTCAATAGACATAATATTGAATTAAAGCAAGGGAAAAGCATTTTTTTCTCCTTTCCAGCAAGTTAGCTAATGCTCTCTCTCAGAGATCTATCAGAGGTAACAAATATTCTTTTCTTTAGAAAAACAACAACAACAAACTTAGAAGTAGCTTGAAGCTTAGCTTACTTCTACTGTGGTCTTAGAAGATAGGGTGTCTTGCTAAAAGCATTGATTTCTGTAGTGATATAATACATAAGAGCTATATGCTTTTTATTCTTAAACTGTACTATAGTGGCAAAAACCCTTCAAATTAGTCTTAAAGGGGATACCTAAGCCTTCTCAGAGATTGCTGACTTTAGGGCCTGCCATTGCACCTCAAGAATGCACAGGGTTGTGAAAGGGAGGTTTGAAATCAAACTACCTAGCTGGCTACAATCTCATCACACTCTTGCTTTAAAATACAAACTCGAATTTTACTTTTAACCAGTGTGTTATGTGACCAAAGTGAAGAGGGGTGAGTACAGGAAGAGATGATTCAAGTATAAAGCCTTGTCTCTCTTTTAGACAATGCAGTCTTGGCTCTTCTGTTGGGATAGAAGTTAGATTCTACACTGTAAATTAAGGTTAAAAAAGCCAGGCACCTGGGTCCAAGACATTGTATGTATTTTGTATGCAAAGCCCTGATGCTTTGGTTTCCTTTTACTTTAATACCAATACCGTTAATTGAAAGATGTCTGCATTCTGTAAATGATGAGACTGAACACATGGGGGAGAAATGAGAACATATCTTCAGCTTCAAGAGCTGTTAAAGGCTTGCTTTTAAATGCAGAAATAAGAGCAAAGATGGAAGTATGTGACATGTAATGTCTCACAGAGTGCTATAATTGTAAGAGGGGAACACAAGACTGTATCCTAGGAGTGTGCTGATTACAGTAGCTATTTAGCTACTTAAGACTTCTTCTAAAACGTTCATGAAATACTTCACATAATGATCAAATCAGACTCTCTGGTTTTGCTGCTTCTTTAGCAGAAAGAGAGATAGCTAGAGAGTAGAGTAACACTTGATTTAATGAAAGCACAAAAAAGCAACTGTTGCCTGGACAAACAAGGAGCTAATCATAAAATATGAGAAGTAACCTTAATGCAGAGAAGGAAATGAGACTCTTAGTTTAGTGTCTGGAACACAATGATGGACAATGAGGGTAGATAGGAACAGGAAATCATGTAATCATGTCTAGGTTTTGCTTAGCCTGCTACTGGTGTTATCCACTCTAAAACACAGCCTCTCTGTCCTTCTTGTGCACCTCCATATTCTATTCCAGCATGGTAACAATTATCATAGCTGCTTATTGCATTTTTTTCTTTTTCTGTTTTTTTTAATAACCTAAAATGGAGGGTGGGGAAGTTAATCTTTCATGATGCTATTATATACGATAAAGCCAACGCACACTGGCAGAAAAAAAAACAGTTGCTTTTCAGGCTTGTGTAGACCTACACTGTTACAAAATATACTTTTAAGATAAAACATTTTATTGGTGGTGACAGGACTTCTCTGAGTTTGGCAGAGATGCATGAAGAAGGTAATCCATAGGTGTTACTTTGTGCTAGATGAGACTTGTGTACTGTACTAAACTAAAGCTGCTTCTTAGGTCAACCTTTTCTGTAAGACTCCATCTGTTGAGGTGAGGATGTAGAGAATATCTTCCTAGACTTTGATCAATGAACCCCTGAGGAAGCTTATTCCCAGAGAAATCTTGCAGAACTCAGCAAGCCTTTTTTAATCCTTTTCAAATGTAACTATTTATAACTTAAAGAACTGAACACGGTAATTCAATGTATCCAACTGGACGCTGTAAAACAGGTACATCTCTGTTAAATCATAACTGTATGCCTGTAACTATATCATTGACACTTCACAAACAGAATATGAATACACCAACAGCAGTGGATCTGGATGTCTTTACTGAATAGCAATTTTCCTCCCTACAGGTTAGATGTGTAATGAAGATCTTGGAACAAGTGTATGTACGTTCTTGCTGAAGATGTCTCTTCCAAGCCAGCATCATTCCCTTATTACTAACCCTCCTCCACCAGAATACATAAACAGCAAAAATAGTGGCTGTCAAACAAACCAACTTCAGTACTTACAGAGAGTGGTCATGAAAGCCATGTGGCGACACAACTTTTCCTGGCCTTTTCATCAACCTGTAGATGCAGCAGCACTGAACCTTCCTGTAAGAACTGTTTCAGAAATAGAGTATTATTCCACAAAGTATTGCAGTATTTGTGAATTAATATTAGAAATCTACTTTAGCATGAGAACTATTTTAATCATTTCCAAGGACAAGAAAACTACGCTTTCTCTTGCTGATTAATACTAAGTGTTGCATCTTTGTTCACTTTCCTTTCTGAGACTGTTGCAAACCAATATTTCTTTAAGGAATAAGAATGCTTACATGGGCCTTATAAAGCTTCTTGATATTGGTATTCTCTGTTGTCTTTCTTCTAATTCCCCACTAATTGAACTGTGTTTTTAATACTGGGTATAATGTTTTTTCTTTTCCTTTTGACTATTTTTTAAAATGGGAAGTTACTAATCTCTTTCTAAATACTTTGTGATGAAAAATCAGATCTAATCCTAAAATAAATAGGGAAATTTGGATCCAATTTGATGTATTGCACTGTGATTTTTGCCATGTACAAAGTCATTAACTCATTCCTGGACTGAACACAAGGTCTTGTGACAAGTAGTTTTAATTTAGATATCTTTATACTCCAATTCTGGATCACCCCAGCTTTCTCAGTCAAATGAAAACATCAATAATTGACACAGCATTCCAAGTATTTCAAATTATATGGAAGGTATTGCTTTTGGCAAATGAATAGAAAGGTGTTAACACCATGGTCTGGTTTTTTCAATTCTTTATTTTCCAACTTAAGTATTTTTAGTTCTCTCATGTCCGAGACTAATTGTATATAATGTGCCATGAAACATAATGCAGTTTTTTCTCTTGCAATCTAATTTTTGAAATTGTGTCAGAATCATCATGTCCTAATATTCAAGAGATTTGTTGTGATTCTTTAAAAAACACAGGATTACTACAGTATTATAAAGAAACCTATGGACCTGAGCACAATTAAAAAGCGTCTGGAACATAATTACTACACAAAAGCTGCAGAATGCATTGATGACTTCAAAACTATGTTTCTGAACTGCTACATATATAACAAGGTAAGTGAAACAAACACCTCTTACTAGTAATCAATTCTAATGAATGCCAGCAAGTCTAAACTAGTGGATACTTCTAACTACCTATAGAACTTGTCAATGACTTCAACATTTCTCAAAGCTAGTTCTGTTTGAAATGGGAGAGGGCTTTGCTGCTAGATTTAACTGAAGACAGAGGTGAGGCTTAACTTGCTGCTAACATCTGAATGCATAGTTGTCATAACATGAGGGTTCTGCTGGCAAAACTTCAAGGTTTATTTTGCACAGTTTACAGCACAGTGTAACAGCCAGACAAGTCCAAGGTTAGTTACTCTGAAGCATGCTTCTCTCCTCCATTAAGCTTAAGACAAACTAACTTAAGCTGAAGTGTGAGTATCTCCTTGAGCTTTGGCTGTACTTAAGTACCTTTGAACTTTCTTCGGACCATAGGAATGAATAAAGGAATTGCAGCCCTGCTCCCTTTTCCCTTTGCTATGGGAAGCGTGTGATTGTACGAGCCAATAGGACAGGGCAGGGTGGGGGAAAGGGGCTATTAGATAGGGAATAGGAATGACTAAATTGGCTCTGATACAGGTGACTTGTTACTATCTATTCAATATAAACTATGGTTAGTTGAAATAGTAGCACTTTATTACTGCAACTTCTCCTGCACTCTGAATGCTATTAACTATATTTTGCAGCCAGGTGATGACATTGTGTTTATGGCCCAAGAACTAGAAAAAGTGTTCATGCAGAAAATAGCACAAATGCCACCAGAAGAAATACTGATTCCCGACAAAGGAAAAAGAAAAGAAAAGCTGTCAGAAGGTAATGACTTTGTGCTGAATTGTTAACATTAAATAAAAGCTGGGAACAGAGAATCCTCTGTAACTTATCACAACTCAGCCCAGGACTGGTCAGGATGCTCTCCATCTTTTCCAGAATATACTGGACCAGTAACACTACTGCAAAGCTTTGGCAGATTCAGTACAGCTGTAATGTTGTAAAGGAACTTTCTACTAATGAAATGTATTTAAGACAAGGAAAAAAAACTCACCAGAATATGAGAACTGACAGCATCATCAGTAGTGCAATAGCACAGTTTTATATGTGAAACAGTGCTCTTGTCCACAAGAAAGATGATTCAGTCAAGACATCCCAAACTAATGAGGAAATTACATAGTAGGTACTACAAATTACATTGGGAAGCCTAATTAAAATGGTCCAGGAGATTAGCTTCAACTCATTACTCATCTTTGACCTCCTGTGTTGTCTTAAGCACTCTTGTAACCTGCTTCATTACCTTGAAAAATGTTTCACTTCAACAAAATGCTTCTTTCAACATCGCCCGACAAATATATTTATTAGCAGAGGTGGACTATTTAGTATCTTGAATTGTACATGCATCCCAGTGGATGAATTTGGAGGTCTTCAAAATAGTCTCCCAAGTGGGTCTGGAACTGATGTCAGTTGCTGGGTCTGTGATAGCTCTAATGAAAAGATGTTATGCCTTAACAGGAAGAATGTGTTTGAACAGGTACAAGCAGTTCCCAGAAAGTTTGAGAAATGCATTAGAAACTGAGCAGGTTCTTAAATTATTACAATTATGCACTCATCATTCAGTCTTGCTCATACTGAAGCTGCTTAAGACCACCTACATCCTGTACACAAATGTGCAACTTGTATGAGTTTTGAACGGTTTTAAGGACTATAATTTCATGTGCATGCAGAATGACTTAGTATTTTCTCTGCAAGCACTTCTCTTTTCTTACAATATAGGGGGCTTAGCATGTTGTTTATTAAATCATCTCTCTGAGGTTAATCCACAGTTTCCTTGATGCCAACTATCCATAACTCGATACTAGTTGAGATACTAAAGGAGTTGAGTAGAGGATAAAAAACATTGTTCTATATATTAAAGCTTTTATTTGTATTTGTTACTTATATCGTTTGTGTGTGGAAGATGTATTATTTAAAACTGTCCAATGACCAACTGCACCATTTAAGACATAACTTAAAACTTTTTAAAAATAACCAGAACCTCAGCAGCCAAACAGTGGGACTTCATCTAAACAGAGAACAAGGCAGAAACAAGCTGAAAGTGGTGAGCAGCCTACAGCGATAATTCAAGACCTACAGAAGGCTACACTACCTCCTTTGTCTGCAGCTCAGCTGACTGCTTTAATGCCAGCTGCCATCCCTATCACAAAAGTAAGTTACCTCAAATAACTTTCGGAATGAAAGGTATTGAAATTACTGCTCCAGGCATGAACAGCAAGACCATAAAAGTCATGTTTATTGCAGGATCTCTTCAAAACTTCTATTGTGACAGAGGATAATAAGAGATCTAATAGATATCCTAGGTCTCTATTAGTTAACTGGGCTACTACTATTTCTAGAAAGCATGCAGAAATTGGGATGACTGCTTGGTAGATTTTCATTTTTTATAAATATGAAGACTTTTTCCTCGAAGTAAACTAAGAAGCTCATTCTTGAAGTGTATTTCCATACTTTTGCAAGTTTCACCTAGATGTAGGAATTCTTTCCTTGTGATCCAGATAAAGGTTTTAGTATTGAAATACGCTTTTTCAAAAATCTATTCAAAAACTTCTCACGTTTTCAATTAAAGTGCTTGAGTTCCCAAAATAGCATATTAGTTGAAACACTAACTAGCTGGGAAAGGTGTTTGTAGCTCATAAAAGCATTTGTTAACTGCTATAGGAATTGTATGTGGATGCCTGACACTTCTGATCAAGTGAACAGGCTTGTATTGGCTTAGCTTTCTTTATCCGTTCCCAACAAGGCACGTGTACTAGGTTCTCTTACAGTGTATATTTACACTTTACTAGAGATCTGAACACGAATGGGCAAAGCATGTTCATCTCCTCTAGACCAAATACTTGGCGTTTAAAAAAAATATAAACATAAATCATTCTGCCAGTTTAACATAAACTGCAGTAACTTTTTTTGCTTTCCATAGTAGTCACATGAGTATTTCATAACCTACTGGTTTCTTTGAGTCTTCTCAATTGGCTAATAGCTACCCACAACCTACTTCCCATTCTTTCCTTTAAGAGTAAGCTTCCCATTCTTTACTTTAAGAGTAAGCTTGATGTTGGCTTGTAATGTCTTGCAGATTCTCAGTCTAAACTTGTGGAAATACTATGTTCTTTTCGTTTTGATACTTGTAGAGTTTTTGACACTCTTTTTTTTGTTGTATAGTTTCAAAGTTGACCTCCCACTGTTCTGGATGTACATCTTTTAAACTTAAAATTTCATTTTTCTAGACAAAAAAAGGTGTGAAAAGGAAGGCCGACACTACAACTCCTACTACTTCAATACTTACAACAAGCAGTGAATCTTCTGCAACATGCAATGAAAGAAAAACTGTTAAAACATGCAAAGGTGAAAATGAATGTATGATACCAAAGAAGATTCTGAAGAAGGGCTTACCAGATTCTCAGCAATCACCCGGAGTTCTTAAAAAGATTCAGTTGTCAAAACAACTAAAATATTGTAATGAAATCCTTAAAGAAATGTTCTCAAAGAAACATTCAGCATATGCATGGCCTTTCTTAAAATCTGCAGATGTTGTATCCTTCTCGCTTGGTGAGAAAAAAGGGATCACCAAATATCCTGCAGATTTGGGAACCATTAAAGTAAGTATGTTTTAGAGGGGATTGGACAACTTCTTTGCTTAAATAACTTGTGTAATCATGTTGGATTTTAATAGCATTAGCTGAAAAAGAGTCATGAAAGCTGCTTTTCATTTGGAAGAAATAGTTTGAGAGAACAGCTGCTCTCCTAACTAAGAAGCAACTATTTACTGAAGTTCTTCAGAGCCTCATGGTGACTGTGTACATACTGGCTAATGCACCTTGAACAAGCTAATAGCAGTAGTGCTGAGAATCAGGCTGCTAATAAAGCATATTAAGTCTCTTTCAGTCTGTGTGATGCTGTTGCTAGTGCTATATAAAACAAAAAGCTTTATATTGTCTACTTCTGCTTCTGTCCAAATCCCTTCAAATTGCTGTAGTGCCCGGAATCCTCAAGCACTGGATATTTGTGACACCTTTCACCTTTTCTGTGAAAAGGAACCTTCCTCTAGGTGAATACTGGTGGTCATTAGCCTATAAATATTTGGCAGATCAGTCTGGGACTGAGTTGGGACTGAGTTCGTTAGTCAATCTATACCAAGGCTATGGAGGCACTTTTAAAGTTAACACCTAAACTTGCATTCACTTTCTTTCCCCCTAGAAAAAAATGGATAATTTTGAATATAGAGATATACAAGAATTTGCCACAGATGTTAGATTAATGTTCATGAATTGCTACAAACATAATTCTCCAGACCATGAAGTGGTTGCCATGGCAAAAAAACTTCAGGTGAGTTATTACTGAAGTCAGATTTGAAATAGAAAAAGACTTGAGGATTTTCTTGGTCATTTAGGCCCTGATGTACCATCTGCTGTGATCAGCTCCTACAATGTGTAGTTCTAGAAAACAAACAGCAGCTTCACAATGCTTTGGGAAATCTGAGATGTTTATTTGCTGTTCCTAAACAAAATCCTTTAGGATGTTTTTGAGACTCACTTTGCCAAAATTCCTGATGAACCAGCTACAAGTGTTCTTCTGCCACAGCACACAAGAGAAATTACAAAAGCTTATTCCAGTGACAGCAGCAGTGATGCCTCTTCAGAAGAAAAATCATCTGAAGACTTTGAAAAGGAGAGAACAGTGTACCTTGCAAAACTTCAGGAGCAGGTAACTACTTGGAGTCAGTATCGTGACTGTAATATCTCAGATAGTGCCCTTGCAATTGTCTATTCTAAGGCTTAGCATCAAGAATCAGTGTTTACAGGACTCTATAGTCAGTTGGATTTTGAAAAATTAAACTTGATTCTGTTTGGAAATACTTTCAAACATTAACAATCTGCAAGTGCCTCAGCAAATACAAACTGTTTTTATTGAAATATCATCTAGTGCTCTCGCCTAGCATTTTTTTACATAAGACATGTCTTTTGAACAAAAATAAGACTGTTGCCATGATACCATGGATGACAGCATCCAGGTACTCCACACACAGAGTCATGTGCTTCTAAATGGCATTTGCTTCATTTTATAAAGCTAAAAAGCTCTCTTATGCTCAGTCTGTCAAGGTGTGTTAGCTCCTTTAAATAGTCAGGAATATGCTTTTGAGACACATAAAAGCAAGCCATAAATTCTATGTTAGAAAGCTTAGTATAAAATAAAATAGTTTTATTTTATACTAACTAATAGTTAGTATAAAATAAAATAATTTTTAGCATGAATAGCATGGCTGTGTCTTACTGTCTAACAGTGCAATGGTTCTATAATACAGGGAGGGAGTAAGCTTTGGTTCTGCTAGTCAAATAAGGAGCAACTTAGTGTTCTTTTTTTGCCAGAGTAGGACATAAAACATGAGTTCATGAATATTGGCCTGAAGATAACTAATTCTACAAGACAGCCTTCACCATAGTTAAATATGCCTACTTGTGCGACCTGGTGTAGGGATCCTGCTTTGGCAGGGGGGTTGGACTCGATGATCTCTGGAGGTCCCTTCCAACCCCTACAATTCTGTGATTCTGTGGCTGAAAACTATATTCTCAGTCTAATTCCTCTTTCTAATCTATAAGACGTTTAAATAAACTTTCTATGAAGCTATGTCAACATGTGACACAAAACAGCTAGCTGGGAATAAAGTACCCTGGGTTTGCAGATTGAAGATGCCCAAGCCCCACCTAGCTAGCTCAATGCTAGCTAGGCTATCACATAAAGCATTTACATGCTTCCCAAATGCCTGAAATTGAAGAGAAGCTGCTAGACAGTACCACAGTGAATTTTTTGTTTTGCTATTTAGTTTTTACAGTTTGTTGGAAGATGCATACTCTTAGACAAGCCTCTATAAAAATAAGTGGCTTTATTTTCTAAACCTCTTGTCTGTGACTATTTTTATTTTTTTTTAATAGACTAAGATGTTTGAAAAACAAGTCTTGTTTGGAAAGCAAACATTAATATCCATTCTAATGCCAGAGATCTGATTTTTATATATAGAACCAGTTCACCATTCCTATTACATTACTTAAGACTCTTGGCTTTTTATTTTTCTTTTGATAGCTTAAAGCTGTTCACCAGCAGTTGCGGGCTTTGACCAGAGCATCCTTACCTAGATTGAAAAAGAAAAAAGAGAAGGCTAAAAGAGAAAAGGGGAAGAACAAGGAAAAAGCTAAAGCAAGCCTGATTCAAAAGAAGAAAGATCTAAAACTCAAGAAGTCTAAGAAAAAGCAGTCTTCAAACATGTAAGTGTGGGGGACTTGTGTGGGTGTAAAATTATTTTAAACTACAGTTACTGCAGTAAATTTCTTTTTGCAGTCAATCAAAGAAAACCATCCAGCAGGTCTTGTTGGCACATAAGTCAGAAGATGATGATGGTGCCAAGCCTATGACTTATGATGAGAAAAGGCAGTTGAGTTTGAACATAAATAAGCTGCCTGGAGATAAGCTTGGGAAAGTAGTCCATATAATACAATCAAGAGAACCATCACTGAGGAATTCTAGCCCTGATGAGATAGAAATAGACTTTGAAACTTTAAAGGCTTCAACACTCAGAGAATTAGAGAAATATGTGGCAACCTGTTTGAGGAAGAGACCAAGAAAGCAGCATGGTATGTAAAATAAATAATGTTTCAAAAGAATGAACAGATCAATTTACCAGATCAATTTTCTGTTTTGCTGCAGTGTTAACTTCTATCTCACACACAGCCAAAAAAACAATGAAGTCAAAAGAGCAGCTTCTTTCTGAGAGGAAACAAGAACTGGAGAAGAGACTAGTGGATGTCAATGGTCAGCTAAATCCAAAGAAAGAGGACTTCAAATGTAATGTGAATTTCATTTATTTGCAACAAAAATCTTGATTTTTGTGTATTGTTACGTAAATTGAGAATTGAGACTTTTTCCTCAGAATACTTAATGTCTTAGGCTTCTCTTTGCTAGGTTTTAAGATTGCATTTGCTGCTGTGACACCATAGGAACAGGCAGTTACTTGTCCTGTATAAAACCTCTTCCTTATTTCTCCTATCTAATCCTTTAATAAAAGTAAAAATAACATTTTTTACTTCTGCAATAGAAGACATGATACAAACTTTACTAGCCCCATACCTGCAGGCTATAGCTGATAGCTAACACTAAATAGAGAAAGCTAGTTGAATGACTTAAAAATATCCTAGAAATAAAAGCTACAAGAAGCAGTTATTAACATAATGTTGGGTGAAGATGGAGGAGGGAGGCTAGAAAATATTTTAAATTGGCGTTTGGCTTCATTACAAGGGAGAACTGAAGCTAGCATTTAGCAAATGTGTGTCCAAGGAAATAGGTATATATGTTGCTTCAGTTTCCCAAGCTTTCATTGGAGGAAAAGCTGTTTGAACAATATTGTAAACTAAGCCAACCCTGCAGATGTAGAACAGTCATACAGTGGGGAGGTGGCAAAAGATAATTCTAGATTACACATAGTTTAGGAAAGAGGAGAACTGACTATAGCAAAGGCTTCAGAATGCAAGCCTGGCAGCACTAATAAGCACAATCAGACTTAAGAGCAGGAAAAATTATGGTGGAAACTGTGCTTGAGTTGTATCTTACAATAGCAATTAACCTAGTTTAGGCTTGTAAGTTGTGTGTTTGCAGCTCTTAATTGGCTATTTCATTTACATAAGCTCACTGCTGATAAATCTCTGTTCTATAAAGGACTTGGATCTGCTGGAAAGATGACAGGGTAATGGTAGAAGACTAGCAGTCATATGGGAAAACAGCCCTTATCAAGAAGATCCTAGGCTTGTAGATGGAGACCTACTGCAAGATGTTTCAAAGTCTTCCTTTTTATTCTGCAGCTGAAAGTAGTGCTGAGTCCAGTATTAGACCAAGCCAACTGAGTGAAAGCAGCAGCAACAGCAGCAGCTCCTCAGACTCGGGCAGCAGCACTAGCAGTGCTTCCAGCTCCTCAGACAGCAGTGACTCTGAATCGGGTCAGAAAGCTTCCTTTTGTTTCTATCTGGGCAGAATATCTATCTTCCTAATTTGCACCTATTACTCCAAATGCTTACCAAGGACTTAATTTATACAACAATTATAGTTGTTATTAAATGATGTCTCAAAACTAAGTGAAAAATGAATAATGAAACAACAACGAAGAACTGTAGAAACTAAAATCTGCTAGTAAGAAGTCTGCATGTCTGACAGAGACCTGGCTATCAGGCTACAGCCTACTTCTGTGGGTTTTTGCATTGCCTCTTTTTTTTTTTTTTTTTTTTTTTTTTTAAACTACTTATTGAAAATTGAACTTATTTTCACTGTCTGGTCTGCAATACCAGAGGAGCCTTATCTTGTGGGTAAGGTTTCATTCCTAAGCCTAGGGACAAAATGGCCAACAATGCTGGCTGAAGAGCCAAACTCTGCTGAGATGCTTAAGATTTCTCACATTTGTTCATGGTGTAGCGTGGTGCTGTAGCATCATGATGCTGGAATTACGCTTCTCTATGTGGAACACTTCTTATTCTGGGGCAGAGTAGATCCCCCCCCACATTTGAGTGGTAGACATCCATATGAGGCAACAGTCTACAGTTAGATGAATCCCACACTCAGCCCTTGAATGCAGAGAAGCAAATAGTGGAGTCACTGAGGGTAGCAAAGATCTTGATCCTGTGGGGATTTGTGCGTGTCAAATCTGGGAGAAGTTCTGTAAAATATCAAACTGAAGTATGCAAGATAAGACCATTCCTTTCCATGTGAAGTTTGGCTCTTTGGGTACACACCCATCTTATGGCTTATATGTGTAAATAATGCTACATATCCAGATGACTTTCTTTTTTTCCCATTCCTCTCTTTCTGCCCACCTCACCGAATTTACAGTTACAGAAACATGCTCAGAACAGAATGGAATGAGGCAAAACTGCCTAACTTCTTTGGAACAACCTAAGGTAAACTGACTGTTGTGGATATAACTTTTCATCTCAGCAGTTAATTGGTACATGTGACACTATTGGGAAGTGCACAAGATAAGCAGAAAATAATGAACATAGCTTGAATACTACTTGCTCTGTGGGACTGACTTAGTAATGTAAAATCTACTTAATAAAGGTATATTTTGCTTCTTTATGGAAGATGAGTGTAAAAACATTTTACCCATTATGAATACTGGAAGTTCTCTGTTGGATGAAGGTGGGGAGAGGACAGAGAATGCTTCCTTCCTTCTCTGCCACCCACCGAAAATCCTTTCCACTTTATTCTTACGTATGAAATTGACCACTGTGCAAAGCTCACTTCATTTCTTTCTCTACATGGATAACCTCACTTTTACATGCTTCAATTAACCGAATGATTATCCCAATTGTTTTCTGGATGCTTGCTATAACCAGGGTATCATAGATTTAATGCCTTTAGGACATAGATAGCAAGTGTTAATTCCAGTCTGTTTTATCTTTGCCTTTCACGATTTTACTTAAAAGCACCCCAGATAGAGGCAAAAGATATCCGAAATCAACAAAGCCTTCTCCTTACAACAGACTTGTTTCACTTGAATTGCTTAGCTTGATATGGCAATTGATTTTGCAAACTTAAAAAGGTGCAGAAGGAGCAGATGAGTAACAGTCAAGGATTTGAGGGGAGGAATTATGCAACAGCTTCTTTTTTTTTTTTTTTCTTCCCTAGAAAGCTTAGCTTCTGCAATAACAAATAGCCTCTGTAATGACAAAGTGACAACAAAATATTGAGAAAAGAGGATGCAGGAACAAAGTTTCTGCTTGGTCAGTTACAATGTTTTTTCTTTGAGTATCAAGAAACTTAATAGTTGACAGCAAAACACAAAGTGATGATCTGGTGGGCTTCTGTATCTATCAGATCAAAGCAGGGCATTTTACTCCACCAGCATTTGTCAACTAAACTCTCAGGAATGCCACACTATGAAAGGACTACTGCATCTGATAAATGCTGTCAACAGAGGGAGAGAGAGAATCAAACACTTAAAGTAAGATTATTTTTTTTTTTAGCATATTAATTAGTGCCTTCTCTTTGCAGAGAACACCACTGTGCTTACAGAGGATGTCCTACAATGCTGTTGTGCAAGTACAGCCCTCGTCTGTTGCTAGTAGCTTGCAAAACCATGGATCACCTGAACCACAGCTGTTGTCTCCTATTGTGCTACAGAAATTTAAGCCTTTACAGAGTAGATCTCTTATATCAGCAGAACAAAATGCTAAGTCTCCCTCAGGTAACAACTTTATGGCAAGAATCATGGCTATTTGAGTGAACCTTGAAGAAAGAAAGGTGGTAGAATTGGTGTTCACACTACTCAGTAAGCTTATCTTGAAGTTTTGGAGGTTATTGGGTGAGTAATAGCGAAGGTTCTTGCATGGTATGGATTAATTAGGAGCATGGTATAAGTAAAAGTATGTCAGATAGGATATACTTTGATTACTCTGGCACTAAAACCAGGATAGAACACTATTAAAACAGTGAGGTTCATGTCTCTGTCTCTCAGTGAAGAGAGCCAGCAACTGGAGGCAAGATGGAAAATGATGCCTCAATGAACCTAAAGTTACAGGAAGTACTTCAAGGCAGGAGTTAAATGCTTGATTTTTTGCCATCATTGTTCAAGTTAACATATGAAGTACCTATTAGCTGATCTAGCACCACAGGCCTTCTGAACTGATCTTACTTATCTAAACATATCAGCTATGAAACATCATTAAGAAGTTATTAAATCGGAAGGTCTCACTCTTCAGTTGTTTAGTAAAAGACAGCTTGAGCTGCTGGTTGATAATCTGAAAAAAAAAAGAATTAAAATCTAATTAAAAAAAATGTCGTAGTGCAGCTAGGTGCGTGCCTTTATAGTGGCAAATCCACAGCTCTAAACAGTGAGATGCAGAACTGCAGTGTGTAGGTTCTGGGAAACTATTCACCTTTTCTTTCTCAGGTATGCTTGCAGGTGTATGTGCTTTGCATGATACTTCGGCCAAGCAAATGCCTCAGACTGCTCCAAGGACAGATCAGCCTTTTGATACCCAGTGTACACAGGCTGTTCCAGAGGTGAATACATCTCTCCAATACATTCATTTCAAATAACTATTTTAAGGCATATCTATTTCTTTAAATTGATGTAACAACTCCAGTCTTGAGTTTGATGCAAAGAAAGCCACTCAAGATCAATAATAAAACATTTACCCAAAAGCCCACTAAATATGTGATTCTTATCCTTCAATAGGAATGTGAATTAATTGGCCACAATATAAAAAGGAAGAGTTTGGCATTGACTGAAGTGCATCAACCTTATAATGCACTATAAGACTCACTTATTCTCTTTTCCACTGCCGAAATTTAAATTCAGGTAGTCCTTGTAGTCACATACGTCAAAAGCTCACCCTATAAGCCTACAGTTGTGCAGAAGAGATGAACAATTTATACCGTATGTTCTTGCTCTCAAGAGATATCAAGCTCTAGAAGCTTAACAAGAATCTAGAGGTTTTTTCTTTCTGTGAAATACTTAAACACCATGTCCGTGTTCTTGGAGAGTATGCTGCTTAGGAGGGCCTCTGCATGTGTTGGACTCCCATAAAGAAGCTATTGATGTCATTGCAGCAGCATGATCTTTTCTATCTTTGGATATTGAACTGTCTTTCTCAACCTGGCTTTGAACACAGCTAGCAGCATTGCTTTAGCCAGTTTTTAATAGCTTTACTTTCTGCAATGAGTGGAAACTATTTTCTTGGAGCTAGGAGCGCAGGAACGCGTTACAAGAAAGGCCACAACAATTTACCCTTTCCCTTTCACATCTAACATCTAAGGTAGCAGCAAGCAGTAGGCTTTACAAGACTTGGTTTTGTGCACTAACTTCCAGTGTTCAATGGCAACTACATGATCTTGCACAGAGAAAAGATAATTCTGAATTACAGTAATCTATCCATACAGTTCTCTATCCATAAACTGGGGTGTGGGGCAACTGGCTTCACAAAATGCCCACCTTCTATTACATTGTACCATGTTAAGGGTTAAAGAGTTTATACCAATTCCTCATTCTAACTAGTTCATCACTTCAATTTTCAGTTTGTAGTCTAGATACTGTGTTAAGAACTTGTTTTGCCTACCATTATATGAATAGAATCTAGTTCTCTAGTTTTTAGTTTTACACCAACTTACTGCTCTAAGCTTCCAAAATTTTATTATTACTATCATATAGCAAGAATTAACATGTTAAGCATTTCAGAGTATGTTTTGAAGTCTAAGTTCTCTATTTCTCTTTTAGGTACCCAATACAACTTCCCCTGTTAACAATGCTGATGGGACTAAAGATGAAAAAATGTTAGTTAATCTAGATGAAATTCAAAGCAAGGCCAGTGAGAGAACTGCTGATTTAATATCTATTAGCCAAGAGCACAGTATGTACTGCCATAATCAGAACTAATTGTTTTAAAGGCTAGAAAGTTAAATGTCTACAAATCTGCCTTGAAGAAATAAAATGTTGAACACTTGTGCATGAATCAGTTGACAAAATACTTGTTTTTATTTGCTATGGTTTGTTTTTGTTTGTTTGTTTGTGTGTGTGTGTGTTTTTTGTTAAGGAAAAAAAAAATGTTACAGGTCCATTCTTGTTCTGCGCTAAAATACAGAGAGCAAAATGACTTAGTAGTGACTTCAGAAAGTTAACTAAAGATAACTCAGTATTCCAGGAAGCTTGAAAGTGTTGATTGAACCTCAAGTCTGCACAGAATTCTGCTTGCCCTCTAGTGTTTTCTGCTGATCTTCCAAGGGAGCTCATTCCCTAAAAGCACTTCATGCTTTTTGAGTAACTCTCCAGTTTTGTGATGAGGATCTGATAGTAAAGTGATGTCAAATAACTGCAAGTTTGTTCCATGAGATTACAAGTAGGCAGGTCTCCAGAAAGCCACATTCCAAGCGGAATGTGTCAGGCTTCGTGCATATTGCAAACTCAAGACTGCTGGGCTAGGTATGGAGTGCCCTCATTAAACCTGAGTGTTACTAGACACAATTACTTGGGTTTTGTTCCGTCTTCACCATTGCTTGCATATGATTGAACAGAGTGGAAACAAGCATTTGAGAAACCTAATTGAAATAAAAGGTGCAGTCTTACCACAGATTAGTTCTTTAACTCTGGACAAAGGATAGTTCTTCTACTATATTTTAAAAAATAATAGAAAAGAATTCAAAGATGTATCATAGGTGAATCAAATAGTCTTCACTTATAATATTCTTTTGCCCTTCTGGAATTTAAATTCCTGTCCTGTGTACCACATATAACGCCAGGATTGTGACAGTTTCTATACATTAAAGGGTTGGGAAAACAAGCAGGAATGAATGAAGCTTACTGCTTAGTGCTCACAGGGTTAGCAGGGGGATGCAAGCATAGCCAAAACTATTGTCTACTGCTTAGTCTTTAGTTTTCTTAACTTTTGACTCTGGTTTTTCATTTGATTTGTCCTACTATCTCTTCTTCCCTTCCTTGTTCAATTCTGCATGTGCAGATAACTTTGAGGGAAAAGAGGGGTGGAATACAGGAATTATCTTGTGATTAAACTGCCTCTGAATATGTGTGAGCTTCAGCATTTAATTTTGAGAATAGCCGTCTGACCCCTTCTGTAACATTGGTGTTTGACTGTTCCTGCAGTGATATGTGCTCCAGCCATTCTTATTGTTAAAGAAAAGCCTTTTTGTTATTAACTTCTTCTGTAGAAAACTTGAGGGGAAAAACAGAATGCCTGTAGTTGAATTGAACTGCACCAACCTGTAGAAAAGTGGTTCCGTTCAGCTTGAATATTAGGAAATGTTACCAGTATTTGGGAGTGTTTTTGTCATTTTGAACCACATAATTTAATTTTTAAAATTCAGTAGTGTGAATTCAGTCATTTTCTAGATTGACTAAACAAATTATTTCAATTTGAGGTAACAAAATCCACAAAGTCAACATGAATAAAAAACCTATTTTTATTCTTCCATCAGGTCATTCTAATACACCTAATGATGCAAAGACTCTAGAGACAAAATCCCAGAGTTTTCCAGAAAGGGTAGGTGCTGTCTTGTGAATTCATGTTTTCTGAAATTAAAATTGGAGAAGTGAACAGAAGGAACTGCATAAGAAGAGCTGCAAATGCTACTGGTTATTAAACTGCTTTGCTAGAGAATTTCAACATTGATGAGAAAATGTATTTAAGTCTGCTTAGATTGCTTTATTTGCTCAAATATTCTTAGAAAAGTAAGGAATTTTTTGTTGTAGGTTGTCTACACTAAGTTCCCTGAAAACAGTGTTGTGCTAATGTAGGAACTAAGTAGAAAATGGATAATTGAAGGGAAAAAAAAACGACTTTAGTAGCTGTATTATTACTATTTCCATGTTTCCCTTCCTTCCCCCCCTTTTTTCTTTTAAATAATTTTAGGCCACGGGAGTTAAGAACATAGACTCCTGGGTAAGCTTGTGCAAAATGATGATGCTTCCAGCTCCAATAAAGTCATCTGCTGAGAGCTTCAAGCATTTCAGGAAAGTAGCCTTACAGAAGGCAGCTGGGCAAGCGCAGGAAAAAGAGAGGTTTGTAACAACATATGTTAAAACACTGATCTATTTTTTTGCTTATATGCGTTCAATCTATGTGCATGGTCTATCATCTGGATAATTTTGTGTGCTTAATTCAAGAAGAATTAGCTTTGGACTGCTTAGGCAATGCAATAGGTGTCTTTTTTGTTGGAGCACTCAGTTCCTCTGGCCATGACCAGAATTCATACCTGCACTCAATACATTACTTTTCTACATCTATAGTAAAAAAATCCCTATCTTATTGATACCCAAAGGGACAAGTAGGATAGTCTAGTCTTCAAGAAGTTGGTGTTAATGTAGCTAAAGTAGTGCCAGTGTGAACTACTTCAGATAGTAAAACTCACATTCAGAATGGTCAATCTGGAATCCTGCCATACAGGCAAGTAATGCTAGATCTTACTTGAAGTCCTTCCTCTCCCACAGGAACCTTGTTTAAGCACTACTGCTTTAGCAGAACTTGGTATAGATAATGGTGCAGCCTACACCTAACAGCTGCAAAAGCATCTCATTCAGCAGTGCTTCACATCTCCACTGGCATGCAGTATAAGCATCAGTTTCAGTTAGTTGCTTAAATAATCTGACAGTCCCTCTCTGCACTCTTTTATATCTTCTATAAATACCTCTTTGTAAGTTTTCAGTGATTCATATTTTCTGGTGTATGAAAAGTTTTGTCTGGTTAACTTCTGCATCATTTTTAATGCAAGAGAGGTATCTGTTGAGTGACATCAGAGATCTTTGTCTGAAGTTAGTGAAACAGAACTCAACTAGTTTAAAAGGATGAATTTGGAAGCAAAATGTCCAAACTAACAGAAAGTTAATCATGTATGAAAGAATGCGACTTCAGTAAAAGTTCTGCATAGCATGCATACAAATCCTGTGTGCATATAGATTGGAAATAGAACACAAGCAGCCTTATCTTCCTACCACAAAAAAACTGTGTGCACTGTACTTCTTGCAAAGAGAAATGATTGTAACTCATCAAATGGAACCACATACTATGTGCTAAGTTCTGATTTATTTGCAGAATTCTGTTGAGTTGCACAGCCTTGTTACAAAAGAAAAAAAAAAAAAAAAAGATTTCAAGCCTATACTTATTCCTCCTCTATTCTCTAAAGGGTCCATAAAGGCACAGGATTGGATGCCATGGCAATGAAAGACTTTAAGCCCCCAAAAGAGAAGGATATGAGCAAACAATTGCCAGAAGCTCAGCAACACCCTCTTGTTCAGGACCGTAACTTGGCCAGAAAAATGGAACAAGAACGCAGAAGGAGAGAGGCAGTAAGTTGCTGACTCTTTTTGGTTGATTTTAATTCTAGTACACAGCCGAGAAAGGAAATTCAGGTCCTTTGAAGTAAGAACCTGAACAATTAAGAACAAGAGAACTCTGCAATCTGAAGTTAGACCAGAAAATAAAACAGGATGATTAAATAAAACTTTAAGTGGCATAACAAAAGAAGTGCTCGTATTACTCATATAATGTTACAATAATTGCATAACAAAATCAAATTATTAAGTATGCAGAGATTCCCCTTTAAAAAGTCAAACCTCAAGTCTTTGCAAGCTGCTTTCTCTCTGCAACATGCTAACATACAACATGTCAATAAAAGTACTAGTCATACTGTACTGCTCTGAAATACCAACATGGAGCCTTTTAAAAACTAACTTACTGATCTTATTGGTATAGATAACGAGTGCTCTTCAATTGCTATTATGTTTTAGGTTAAATGTTTCTAAACCAGTTCAATGTACGGTATTACGCAGTTTTGACTAAGATCATAATAGACCCAGATAAGGTCTCCTGAAGATTTCATCTTGCTCAGCACTTTTCAGAAAGGACTTAAACAATATGCATACGTAAATTTGTAAAAACAGAGGAAGCATACGTTTCTTTGGGAAGAAGTTTTGTAGGTTTTCATTAAATCTTAATATTTGTCCTGCATAGTACTCATTACTGCCTGACTGCTCTGAGAAATACACTGATTTGCTTTCTTGCAGATGGCTTGTACAATTGATATGAATTTGCAGAGTGATATTATGGCAACTTTTGAAGAAAACCTTGAATGAAAACGGTAGTTAATGTAGAACTTAACTTTGGTACTACTACTGACTATATGACTTCGAAAATATAACAGTTATGAGCTTAAACACTAAAATCACTTTAAAGAGCATGCAAGCTCCTGTAAAATGCTTGATATGGAAATGCTTGCTCAATGACACCTGAAGCATCACAAGATGTTTTCGTTTCTTGCTTATAACATATATATAATCTAGTCTGCTATGCAGTGGAATACTGTTGTTCTTCTGATTACAGTTCTTATTTTGTGCTTTCATATGCATGATTTTTTCTAATCCTTTAATCCATTTTTTCAGAAACGTTTCAGAATCTGTTATACAGTCCACAGCCAAATTCTCTTGGTTTTAGTAGTCAGTTCACCAAATGCGCAACTACAGAAACTACTTTAAATCAAAGTCTTGCAAGTTATAATTATTATTATGACAGTCATTTGTTATTATATTTGCACAAAATCTGGGCTGTGACAAAAGATTTCGTAACAACAATGATTTCTACAGAGTGTGTAACATTACTTGTAATCAGAAAACAGCACTTCCTGGAATTCTAATTTCAGTAGTAAATCTAATTCATTTGCAAATCCTATATACTTGCATGCCTTAAGGTACAGACATGTCGATCTTCTGTTTAATGCATTTTATGTTAAGGTCAGTGTGCAAGCATGTTTGCCAGATGGTTCTGATTTTTCATGGAAAGAAATTATCTAAAATATTCCTCTTCTGGATCGAGTTTGAAGGGCTTTCTGTTTAATGCAAGATTGTAATAATGTTAAGATACTTACCTAAAGTAGAAACTAGTCTAAAAGATCTATATTCTTGTTGATTACACACAACTTTCTCAAACTAAGTACAGGATTAATTAGACATTTCTTTATAGAATTAACACCAAAATACAGCATGTACTATGGAAATGTTGGAGGGAGAGACTCTCTTGGTTTAGTGATCTCAAATTTTTTGGATCATGTAGCCATCAGTAAAAAAAAAAATAATAGAGCATGTACCAGGTATTCTTATTCATTTATAAATTATGTACAACTATACAAATATTACATACCCTATAAAACATACACAAAGATGGAAATTAAAAGATTAAATAAACACTATTCTAAATTTTTCTTCTTTTGTTTATTAACAGTACCAAAAATAAATTTTCTTCCTGCACCTCAGTGGATTGTCTTGTGCATTCCCCTTTGTAGGCCATGGTCCTAGCTAAAGTTCCCCTTGAAACTCTCTCCCCATGGAGACCTCTGGTCTGTCAAGTTCTTGGATCAAAACTGAAACTGAAGGGAACAGACAGTGTTGTAGTGTGGTCTGCTACAGACCAGCTAAGTGGGCAAGGCTTTCCACAAACTACAGAATTTTCAGATGAATAAAGTAAATTACAAAGCATGCATAAGAACAGCAGCGTGGGTGAGGAGATAGAGTTAGCCTTGAAATACCTATTTTACCTTAAAAAGCTATTCTGTATCTTCTATTTCTGTCACTGATGGAATGGTAGTATTTATTAACGTGTAAAAAGACTGTATATTGACAAATGCTCAAACTGAGATTTTGCCATTTGAAATATGTATGGAAATACTCTTACATCAGCTCTGTATGGATGTATTCTCATCTGTCCACTGTCTGGGAGATCTCAGTACTTGGCTAAGAAAGAGATTCTGGGTGAAATACGGGTTTTAATACACAGGGATACTGTTAGGATGTCATGTTTCCATTCTGCATCAAAAGTGATTTAGCCCTGCCTTCATTTCTACTTTATATGTCATAACTAACTCTCCATTCAATAAAATACTACAGTTCACATTCAGGACTCTCTACCTTGCCATTGCCTGGACATGCTTTCTAATGCAAGCTTAAGATCTCTTGCTCTGGAAATAGGTGTGATGCAAAGGAGGAGGAGAAATTATTATTTGCATTTGACCTGTTCTATATAGCTATGAGTGCATTATTGATGGTATATAAGAGTTGGTGCTCTTGCCCATTCAAAAGTCCAGCTCCTGTTACAACTTCTCTGCTCACAGTTTCACCTTCTGTGGTAGACCTGCAGAGGTAGATGTGAAATTAGCCTTCTCACTAACTGTGATACACAAGTAAGAAAAATCACACTAGTATATTTCACACTACTTCATACCATTACGATGATTTTAAGTCACAATGTCAGCGGTGCTAATGCTAATCTGATAAACCTTTTCTTTGCAGTCGACAAGTCACTTAGAGGGTAATCAGTTCCTCCCTACAGACAGATGCTTGAGTTAAGAGGAAAGGGAGATGGCTTTCAAATGGGTGTAGCAAGCCTATAATTTCTGTCTTATTCTAGAGCTGTCACCATTTTTAAGATGATACAGCTTGCAAACAAAAACTGACTGAATACACTAAATATTGCTAGTTACCTGACTATGCAAATCTGTGTAAAGTTCTGTTTCACTATGTTGCCTTCAGCATTTGTGAAAATAGCTTCACTAATGCACCATTTCTATCCTAGCATCTGCACAAGTACATCACATCTAAAGGCTTAAATGTCCTCTGTCACTAACCTACAGAACGTGTTAATTTGTTTACTCTCAGCTGGAAGCAGTCAGTGACGTGCAAAGGCGTCCTCTTTTGTCTCTCAGAAATGGGCTGAGTTGAACTGACGAAAGCTGAGCAGGCAGATGGCACATAGCGGAGGGCAAAGCATGCTGACAAAGCTTGTAAAACAATCTGCCCTGGGGTTGGTTTGGCTTGGAATCCATTAGAACAGTCTAAAGCAGAAGATGGGGAAATCAAAATACAAGGATGCTAGAGAAAGATTTGTAATTTTGAGGCTTCTCAACTTTAGCCATATTTTCCATTAGCTGGCATGAAATCTACAGAAAATTCTGAAGCCTCTTTGTAAAATGCTGAAAAATGCATGGAAGATATCTGTCGTCCAAGTTGGTTTGCCTTGTGTATGTAGACAGCATGGTACTTCAGCACAAAGAAAGCATTTCTCAGTGAAAAAGGAATTCTGCTGCTTTCTTGGCAGAGGGCAGCTGAGGAAACTCAGCTAGAGTTGCTGAGAGACAATGAGCCAGGTTGGGCTGAGGGCAGCCCGGACAACATCTTTGTACAAAAGCTGCTCAGAACTGCGAGGTTCCCAGTGCTCCCATCTTTCAGCTCTGATATGGGATCCATATCTAACAGCTGAAGATCACATAGCTAAACTCCATGGGCTACTGCAAAACTTGTGCATCAGTGAGAAATCTGTCATAAAACTACATAAGTAGTTAGATGTATAAACATTTTCCTTCAGCCAAACTTTAGAACTTCATTAACTGGATTGCTGGTCTGCTGATGTACACTTTGGGGAAAGTTCTGCTGCAGCCAGTCTGGCACTGAGCAGGTGAGGCTTCTTCCCTGCAAAAAAAAAGGCTATTAGCACAAAGACTGATGCATAAAAATTAGTTATGTGCTATTCCTAGGGTTGGCAGTATGAGTAATTGGAGTATGAACAGAAGGTTCAGGCTTGGTAGGCATGATTCATGTAATCCTGCTGGAGTCTGCAGAGGTTGGTGTCTTAACTGAATCATAGCAGCTTCTGGAGTTATTGCTGTTCTTCTTGCCTAAGACAAGGACTGGAGCCTTACACAGCCTTGCACTCTTTTCTCAAGCAGCCTGATAAAGCCTCAACTTCAAATCTGCAGGGCTCACATTAAGACAACAGTCATGGCCAGGGAACAGCAGGATTCAAATACTTTTCTAATTACATAAATCAATAACACTGTTGTCAGCTGTTATGTGTTACTGATATTTGTTATTGATGAAGGCAGACAAGTTTTTTACAGCTAATTGAAGATATCACCTTTATTAGTAGGGAAAAAAAAAGATATTGCTTTTCTACTTTTAAGCTTTAAAAAATGAATGAAAATTGGCAGCATTCCTTTCTGCTGCTTCAGTTCTTCATTCCAGCACCTGACTGCTGAGAGAGTGGTCAATTGCTGTAAAAGGTTGCTCACAGAGGTTGTGGGTGCCCCGGCTCTGAAGGTGATTGCGGCCAAGCTGGATGGAGAGGTGGGCCATCTGATCTAGGTCTGGATTTAGTGGAAGGCAGCCCTGCCTGTGGCAGGGAGGTTAGAACCTGGTGATCCTTGAGGTCCCTTCTAACCTAAGCCATTCTATGATTCTACGATTCCATTTAATAAAGGAAAACTTGAACCTGTTGAAACCAGCATTAATCCTGCCACTGCATTCCAGAAAGATTACATTTCAGCAGTGGGGTATATATTTTTAAGTGTGAATTCAAAACAAGTAGGAGAACACATTTGGCATGCAATAGACAGAAATTGTCTGTAAGCTGTGTTCCATACACAGTATAAGATAATATATGCTGTCTGTATGCATGCAAGTATGCAAGTCCAATTTTGTTGGTTTTTTCAGTAACTCATTAAATTACATGTGCTAATTAACAGGCAGGTAGTCTCTTCCGACAGCTTCTACTTGCACTATTTGAGGAAGCAGAAACACCCCTTGGAAGTTCTAATCATCCAAACTAAACTGGACCAAACACAAATTCTGGTCACAGTCCCATTCACACAACATTTGGGCAAGAAACCAGAAGCACAGGCAACAACGTGCAGGTCTGCATTACAGGTTGGAATCCTGCCCCAGGGCCTCTCCAAACCTTGGACTTATTGCATCCCACTGAGGAACAGGTGCAGAATAGGGAGGGAAGGTGGTGTGCCTTGCGGGGAACTGAGCTTGTTCAGCTCCTTGTGTCAGCTGCAGGTGCTGAGAACTCAGTACCAAACTCAGTGTTGGAAAACGGCTGCTAATGATGGTCCAATTGCCTCTACTAGCCAATATCTTGATTAAAGTTCCATTTTCTAAATTATAAAATTTCAGCAGAAGCTCAGAATTAGTATGTTTTTCAGAAACACTCATACTAACATGCAGTTGAGGTTGTAATGTATTTACAGAATCATCTTTCAACGGACAGCAGGTAAACAGCAGAGACAGAATGCACACGGTTTTTAAAAATAATTGCAATCTAACCACACGGCCATACACCTCTGTTTCATCTTACGCCAATAAGGTACGTGCGTCCAAATACGCGATCAGGGTGAGCAAAGCTACCGCATGTAAGGACCTTGCGAAGGCAGCAGAGGTGAGGCTGTCCCGCGTCTCCCACACGCACTTCTCGCAAAGACCTTTCGGCGAGTTTCGGTGCGTGCGGCAGCCCTGGCCGAGGACGCGGCTGGGAGCAGCCCCTTCGCTCCGAGCCTGCTTTTCCCTTCGTTCCCTGCGGGCCATCGGGCGCAGATCCACCGGCCGGGGAGGGACGCGCCGTCCGGGGCCCGGCGGGGCCGGGCGGGAGGCGCGGCGCCGCGCGGTGCCCGGCAGCGGGGCGAGGGCCTCGGGGACCGCGGGGCGGGCGCGCCGCCGCCGCCGCCGTGAGCGGTGCCTCCGCTCGGGCGGCTCCTGGCGGCGGCGGCGCTGCCAGCCCCTCTCGGCCGGCGGGGACGGCGGCGGCGGGGCCCGATGGCGAGACCGGGTGCTGCGTGCCAGCCGCCCGCCCGCCGGGTGATGGTGGCCGCGCGGGCGCTGCTTTTCTGGGCGCTGGTGTACAGCTACTGCGGAGTGTGCGCCTGCATCGCCGGGCTGCGGCTGCTATGGAGCATCGGCCGGCGGCCGGGCGAGACCTTCCGCTGGGTGATGCGGGAGAACCCCCCCGCCTGCCTCAACGACCCCTCCCTGGGCACCCACTGCTACGTCCGGATCAAGGTGAAGGCTGGGGTCGGGGGGAGAGGGCCTCGCCGTGCGCACCCGTGCTCCCGTGCACGCGTCTCGGCTGCGTGCGCGCCCGCCCGCCGGTGCATGCCTGTACACGGGCACCCGTGCGTGCTCCCCTCCGGCGGTTCCCCTGCGGACTCGCCCCGCCGCACGCACGCACCCAGAGCCGCTGCCCCGGGGGCGCCGCGGGAGGAGCCCGAGCCGGGCAGCGCTGCCCGTGGGGTGCGGCCCCGCGGCCTCGCGGCGGAGCTGCGGGGGGAGCGCGGAGTGAAGCGCTCAGCCCTGACCCTGAGGCTGCGCGGTTACAGCCCGCGGGGCTGTTAAAAGACTGCTCTGGGTCTCTGCCTGCGATCTGCTCCTCCGGCAACTGCCCGGAAAGAAGTTGTTTTAGCTCGTTTTTTTCTGCAGCTGTAGGTGAGCGCTGCAATTTTCATAGCGTTATTTTTAACGGAACGAGTACTGAGAGCATTGTTCTGAGGTTTCTGTGCAGCTTTTTTTGCCATACAGCGCTAACATAAATCGTTCAGCCTCCCAGTCCCTCAATTTGCCTTCTTGCTTTTTTCCAACATCACCAGAAGGCACGCACACACTGCTGCACTCACACGCTGCATTTGCCTCTCCCATAGCGCCAAGCAGTAATGCCGGGGTTGCTGGGAAGCGAGGGGATGGTGGTAATGACGGAGCCTTTGGGGCAAAGCAGACTGCTTGCCAGGATGACGGTCTGCCACTCGGTTCAGGCAGCATGAAACTCTCTGGCCGCTGGGTAACAGCAGGCTCATGTGTTACCTCCCAGACACACGTATCTTAGACATCTGTGCAGGTTCCAGCAAAAGAAAGATAAAAGTGTGTTGCAGAGAAGATGGCAATATCCGATGCCGTGTTGTTGCAGTAATAGAAAAGAGGAGACTGAAAGGAGCAGCTGAACAGGTGGAGGATAGGCTTAGTTTGGGGTATGTGACATTCAAATTGCTGCTGTACAATTGATGATTGAATTTGCATGAGTAAAAGCAATGTCCTTAAAAGCAATACATTGATTAAATAAAAGTGCTGAGGG